ATCACATGCCGGTGCTATATGAATATTACAGATATATTATACTAGAAATTATAGTATAATTCTCAGCGGAAATTAGTTGATATTAATAATAATCCGCAGCCATTACTGTAGCAAATGATTAATATTTGAAGCAATATATAAGTTAATTTCAATTAATATTCAAATTAGATTTTTCTCCATAACATAAACCGTTAAGAAATGTATCGTAATTTGCATTTATATTTATAAAAATTTTCTTTAATCAGACCTAAAATTTATAATCCATTCACTCATTCGTGTTATTAATTGGTTGTATAACTCTGTGTCCCAAAAGTTTATGACTCGAGAAAAATAAGGCGAAAAACTTTTTGCTTCGCAAACACAGAATATTCTGTGTTTGGTGTTGTTGTCTAACACTAATATATGAGTGAATTTAGTGAATCGTTAGCCAACAAAAAAGTTTGAACCGTAATAAAAAGCATCGACTAAATTAGTCCATAAGTATGGCGTATACCATAAATTACATTAAAACGAGTACTGGAGCTAAAGGTTATAATGTTATAATGTGTTTAACACACAAATTCATTTGACTTGAGAACCCATACAGTGTAGTGACTATAACCCTATTACAAGTTTTAGATACTATAGCCGTATATATCAAACCCTTACATAACTGTTACCACTATTTAATTAATTGATTACTTTCTGCACACAAGTCATCGCCCTATCACTCCATACTAACCACTGTTTTTTCACTGACAAGTGGAGAGATAGTCATCAAAATCCGTTTCACTCCTACGACACGATACTGTAAACCATATTTATTTGACAAATAAAAACTTAACTCAAAAAATGCTTTTTATTGCTCAGAGAGAAAAAAATGTCCACAAATTTTACGACAAATATAAGCCCTAAATATAATATAAGAGTTGAGAATAAGTTTTATACTACAAAATGTGTGGACTTTTTCTATTTAATCAATAATTTTGCTGGACTTTTATCATGGGTTAAAAATGTTTTCATATATCACATGTCACTATAAATCGCAAAAGTTTTTGACCAGAATTATAGCGTTAAAGAGTTGGGAATTTATGAGTCGCTTATATGCATTCCCTATGCTAACTGTCCACTCAATACATGTGACACGAGAGGTCTATTAGTTTAGTTTGTAGTTAATATCTATAATAATATATTGAATATTTGGGATGACTTCCCAATATAAGGGCACAAAATGATTGATAGCGAGAGACATGACTGCGAGATAGGAGATAGTCGTTGAGAGAGAATATTTTGATTAAATAAAACAATAAAACTTTTGTTTTTTTTTAGTTTTACCGCAAATTTCATTGATATCATGAATACTAGTGTATAAGGGAAAGGGAGAGAGTCGGAAAGAGAGAGAGAGAGAGAGAGAGAGAGAGAGATCGACAACTAGGAGGTCATGTACGAAGGTTTCTGGACGTGAAAAACAATGCCATTATATTGATAAGCATTAGTTAACCCACTGTTTTGGCTGTACAACCCCACAGGGACCCAGGAGACCATGTTGGCCACCGATGGCTTAATGGTGTACGCGATTAATTGGTTGTTCGCGGCACTCAAGGCCTCGAAACGCCGGTTCGCCATCAAGTGCAGCGCCGCCCACATTAGCCACACCGGTATCCGCGACGCGCTGGCACACCATCACTCATCATCATCAACATCCTCGTCCCCATCGACATCATTGCCGCCAATTTGTACCAAAATAAGCAGCAAATTATTGAAAACAAATACTATTCTCTCGCAATTGCGCGAAATGTCGTGCATTAGCCCTAAGAGAGCCGCGCATTGTCTCGATATTAGCGCTAATTATAATCAAACACAACACCCGCCACACAATCATACCGCAGCCGCTGATACATCCAGTTCCTCATCCACATCACTGTTATACACATTACATGTCTATCAGTATCAGATCATCTCCAACACCAACGGCAAGAACACCGGTATGTCATGTCTTATATACAGCGTACACATAGCTAGGCGTTTACCTATCGGTGCCCTCCGAATGCATTGTCTCTATAAGTCATTTATCAAATTTTTTGCCACTTTTTTAATTGATTTCTCAGCGAAAAATTGTTTTTCTCTATCGTTCGCTTAATCTACGATAAAATAAAAAAAAGTGTGAAAATATATCTAACAGTATATATCATACACAGAGAAAAAAGTTCATAAATCTGTTTCCAAAGGCATACAAAATACCAAACACTAAGTTAATCCCCGTTCAGAGCACAGCCTTATATTATATAAGTTATATGAGATGGTTGTGCTCTCTTGCACCTGACGTTTTAACCGGTAAAAAATCGCACAAAACTGTATATACGAGAGGAAAGCCTTTTTGTGACACTTATTATTATTATTACATAAATCTTTGATTCAAAGCCCTATGCCTTTCGGCGTGTGGCTGACACTACACCTGACAGGCCAGTCAACATATAAATGCGACAAAAATATTTTTTTTGACTACAAACTAATCCCAAAACAATTTGGAGATATATTGCTTAAACAATAATATGTGACAGTACCTGTTTCCATTTGTTTTTTAATAACACAAATGAGTTGCATGTTAAAAGTAATTATTTATTGTATGAGAGTTTAGGGGCTATGAAATATGAATGAAAATAATATTTTGTTTTAAAAATTATCAGTATCATATATACTATTAGATGAAATTATTTTTACCTATTATTAAGATATTTAAATAGCAAATTACAGTAATTTACTTATTAACTTATAATACCTATTAGTATAATATACGCTATTATAGTATTTTATAATTTCTATTCCACTAATAAATCCATAATTTTATTGCATTTAAATCCTCTTAAAATATTAGGTAAAATAAATTAATGTAATAGTGATTAGAATCGATACCAAGAGTACTTTGTAAAGAGTACTTAATAATACTATTTATACTAAACGTTTGCATTAAGACTTCAATCTCGGGGACATATGTTTGTCAATAATTATGTTAATCTCATTTAAGCTCGTATTATGTTTTAATGGATTATACAGTATTGAAAGGGCACACAAAAAACACACATAAAAAACAAGTAATTAAATCACAGAATATTCTCCAGGATTTAGAGAATGAGAAATTTTTCTTTATTTTCTCAGACATTAGACTCGAGTTTCGCTTTCAGAAACTTTTTAAGTTGATTTTGCGTCAAAAGGAGAAATAAAATGAGATTTAAGTTAATACTGAAAATAAGAGTCTCTCTCTCTCTCTCTCTCTCTCATACCCATTACGGGGAATAAATTTTTTCATTCATTCAATGTTTGAAAATTCAATTTTTAATGTTTTTGATACACTAATAGACTTCCATTATTTCAAGACATAACAGTAACTTATAAACTGAATGTAAAAAACGAATTAATGTTTGAGAAAATAAAATATTTGACTCAAACATCGAGAGTCGAGAGAGAGAGAGAGAGAGAGAGAGAGAGAGAACTCCAAAGAAAAATTCTTGACATAAATAAAAGGCAAAGAAATATATATATATTTATAAATTGAATACAATTTTTTCTCCCCGACTATTATCACTAGCCGTACGTACGGTTAGGAAAACCAAATGAATGTTAAAATTATGCACTAAAAGGGCACGTGAATGGGCGCACAGACACTACATTTTATATACCTTTCCTCCTAATATATACCACACTTTGTAAGCGATTCGTATGAAAATCAGGCGAAAAAGTTGTGAAAATCTAATTCATCTCCACTTTTAGCCCTTATATACGAAAATATTTTCACTGAACTATTTGTAATGCTATAATTTTTAATTTTTGGTGTAAAAACAGATTTTAGAAAATCTATAACCGTGTAGTTTTGATATCATAAGTTTTTTAACTGAGAGAGAGAGAGAGAGAGAGAGAGAGAGAGAGAGAACTCCAAAAAAATTCTTGACATAAATAAAAGGCAAAGAAATATATATATTTATAAATTGAATACAATTTTTTCTCCCCGACTATTATCACTAGCCGTACGTACGGTTAGGAAAACCAAATGAATGTTAAAATTATGCACTAAAGGGCACGTGAATGGGCGCACAGACACTACATTTGATATACCTTTCCTCCTAATATATACCACACTTTGTAAGCGATTCGTATGAAAATCAGGCGAAAAAGTTGTGAAAATCTAATTCATCTCCACTTTTAGCCCTTATATACGAAAATATTTTCACTGAACGTGTGTATCGATCGGTCGGGAACTGTATGTGTGTATGAGATCCCTGTGCTCTATTACATGATATACAGTGAGGGAAAGGCAGGGAATACCATATTGTTTAGTCTCGCATACAATAATACAAGACTTCAGTTCAATAACTTTCGCTTTCATTCAATTAAAATAAATTATTTTCATTCACTTTCTTTTTTGTGTGTATTTATGTCACTTTTTTGGGCATATAATGAATAAAATGATAACAAATTAGTTAATTATTTTACACTTTTTATAATATCATCTAATCTTTTGATTTGATTTCTAGATTTTGTGTTTTATTTTCAGTGATTTTGCTCATAAAACAAATAATTTCTATTATGCCTTGAATTGAATTTTAAAATCAATTTATATATTTCTCTTTCAAACAATTTTATACGATATTAAGCCTAAATTAGGCCTATTATGGGATGGCATTATATGGTAGCCTAACATTAATGTTCATTTGATTTCTTAATTTTGTATTGAATTTTGTACGTTTAAATTATTTATACAGTATTATTTATTATTAAATTTTTAAAAATTATGTCTAGCTCATACAATATTAATGAGTTAAATAATTAAAGTTTTAGATAATTTTATTAAAATTAATTGCATAGCACTTTAATCAATTAATGAATGCACTTTTAATATATTACCAGAATATACTATGAGATTTTTGTATTATTAAATTAATATTTAGTGAATTTGCAATTAAATGAGAATATTCTGTGAATTTAATATCTAAACCGACAAACATTTAAATAATTTAAAATTAACTTTACTTTTCAATTGCAATAAAATATTTAAATTATAGAAAACTTAAAACACATAAATATTTACCAAAACTTTTATCGACTATTGAGTATATAATAGGATTGAAAATTTAATGAATGCACTTTTAATATATTACCAGAATATACTATGAGATTTTTGTATTATTAAATTAATATTTAGTGAATTTGCAATTAAATGAGAATATTCTGTGAATTTAATATCTAAACCGACAAACAGAATAATAATTTTAAAATAATTTAAATAATTTAAAATTAACTTTACTTTTCAATTGCAATAAAATATTTAAATTATAGAAAACTTAAAACACATAAATATTTACCAAAACTTTTATCGACTATTGAGTATATAATAGGATTGAAAATANATTTAAATAATTTAAAATTAACTTTACTTTTCAATTGCAATAAAATATTTAAATTATAGAAAACTTAAAACACATAAATATTTACCAAAACTTTTATCGACTATTGAGTATATAATAGGATTGAAAATAAAATCAAATAAAAATTGCTTGCAATATATATTTGGAAAAAATTATTTTAAACTCTTTTAACTTAAATAAATACTATTTTACCAAAAAATATCATAAACCAACGAAATATATATTTCTGTTATATAAACATATCTCTCACTTATGAATGCATTAAAAGGTCATTAGTTTCTACTGATTATAAAAAATAATAAACACACGAAAAAATAGTAACAAAAACCTAAACATTGATTTTAATGGATATCATATAATATGGAGAACTCGTGTACGAAAAAAATGTTTGTTTTAACCCCAAAAAGAAACTCATAATAATCAAAAATGTAGACATTTGTGACTATCATTTGCCATAATAGTGGTACACATGGATAGGATAAGCATTTTTCTATGCGGTGATGAGAGCCATGAAAAACAGATAAATTTTAATTAACGAGCAATTAGTTTGTGTACAACATTAACATTATATTAGTATTAGGGGTGAGACCTAACAGTTAATTCTCACTTCACTTTACAATTCAGTGGCAAATATCTGGAGATTTTCAGCGATGCAAAAATAAATACAAATAAATATCAAACACCCGAAAATTCATACAATAAAAACTAATTACTTTGATTGAGACATAGATTTGTGTCAAAATTATCACATATTATGCATAGAATCGCAAAAATATATACAAACTAACGACTCGTCTCTCTCTCTCTCTCTCTCTCTCTCTCTCTGTAGTTAAATCACATTCAAATAAAATGCAATTTTTGTGTTTTTTTAAAAATGAGTCCACAAACGCGAGTGAAAACAAGAAAAATGTTTTAACAAAATAGAGAATACGTCTGAAAAAGAGGTCTTTTAATCGGCAAAAATTTAATCATTAGTTTTCCAGCGAAGGGACTGGTAGTCTAGTATATATTGTATGTATGTAATACAGTACGTGAGTATAAATTAGATAATACCATAGTATGGCATTAACTATGTTTTAATAAGAGGACAGTCAGCTCCAGCAATATTTAGTGTGGTGTGGCATATACTGTATACTATCGCACGGGCATATATCATACCGGTGCGCGCGATATGATATAAAAGCTTCTGGTTATGAATTATTACTTATTTATTTGAAAGCTTCTTGTCTTTACGTGCGATCATAATTTGAACCATAGTTTAGCCATAGTTGTAGGTCTAGTATAGCACCGGTATGTTTGTATTCTATCTGCCGGTTCTATGAATACGGTGGCGGTGGTGGAGGTGGTGGCACTGGTAGTGTAGGCACACACACGTTGGGGTAATTTGATTGCGTGTGGATTTGCCATATATTAGTCAATACATAGTCATTCACTTAATGCCACTTCCAATACGAAAACTATTATACGTAAGCCTATCGTGAATTTCAATAGCATTAGATTTAGTATAAATTTTAGGTTTACTTTGTTTTTTGTTTGGGGGAGAGAGGACTGGTATGTTATGTAACATAAAAATGCAAACATAACATCCCTTCCCAACGCACATATATACAGACACTACTCGCATGTATTATACAATCGTTTTTCTTTTTACTCTTAAAAACATTAGACAAAGTTTTGTAGAAATATTTTTCGTATAATACTGTATATATATATATATATATATATATATTCTGCCGTTTGTGTCGTTAGTGAGGATTAAAAATATTTTTGGCTTCAAAAATATTACCGATTTTATGAAATATTAAAAATTTTTGCGATAAACTCTACGGAATACTCATTAAAATAATATGCCTTTTCGTAACAAAAATTTATTTGCCTATTAATAGAGATAATGATTCAAAATATGATGAGCGCATATTTATTATATGAATATATTTATACACTTTTCGTATAATCTCTGGTTATCCAATGTTTTCATATGTCTGGGTATATATAAATATAGTTTGTTATTAGTTTATATCAAACAAAATGAAACAGAAAAAAGTTTTTGTCCATAATTTATGAAATTTTATGATACATTTTAAGTCGCGACTTAAGTTTTAAGCATATTTCGGCTTTAATTATAAATAATTTATTTGCATTTTGTTTTATGCTTATAAATTTAAATGCACAAAAAAGTAGCATAGTAATCATTTTATACAAAATAAAACATAAGCAACATATAAACAAAATTAAATTTTACTCTTAAAAAACCACAAGATTTGTGTCGCAAAACAAAAAAGTTTTTAAAAATTCATTTAACGTTAAAAGCAGAAATCCAATTACTTTATGAGATGTTATTACTTGTAATCTAATTATTAGATTTGTTTTGTTATTTATTTTGCCTTCCTTTTGTATATATTTTGTCTCTTTCTCTGTACTCTATGTCTGTACTCTTATCTGATGAGAGCGCCTACACATCCCTTATAATAATAGGTATGAGCGTCTGAAGCCAATTGTATGAGTGCCTCATATATTACAGTATATCCACAAAAATCAAATGATATACAGAATCGGAGGCAAAAGTTTTTATTGTTTTTAAATTACAACCAAGGATAAACTCAATATATTTTTGTCTGGAGTTCACTATTGGATTCACAATTCTTTCTGTCCTTTTCAATCATTTTAGATATGTTTCGTGACAAATGTTTTTGATTTGATTTATAGCCCGAAAAAATTACTTTCAATTTCCGAACATATTTAACGAATTCCTGATTGACTTTCATTTAATGGACATTAAATATAATCATAAATAATAAAATAGATTTGTGTCGCAAAACAAAAAAGTTTTTAAAAATTCATTTAACGTTAAAAGCAGAAATCCAATTACTTTATGAGATGTTATTACTTGTAATCTAATTATTAGATTTGTTTTGTTATTTATTTTGCTTTCCTTTTGTATATATTTTGTCTCTTTCTCTGTACTCTATGTCTGTACTCTTATCTGATGAGAGCGCCTACACATCCCTTATAATAATAGGTATGAGCATCTGAAGCCAATTGTATGAGTGCCTCATATATTACAGTATATCCACAAAAATCAAATGATATACAGAATCGGAGGCAAAAGTTTTTTATTGTTTTTAAATTACAACCAAAGATAAACTCAATATATTTTTGTCTGGAGTTCACTATTGGATTCACAATTCTTTCTGTCCTTTTCAATCATTTTAGATATTTTTCGTGACAAATGTTTTTGATTTGATTTATAGCCCGAAAAAATTACTTTCAATTTCCGAACATATTTAACGAATTCCTGATTGACTTTCATTTAATGGACATTAAATATAATCATAAATAATAAAAGAGATTATTAATGAATGCCTATAAATGCATTAAATGGACTTAATATATAGATATATAGAGCCAATGTATTTTAATAGCGAGTGCTAGCTAAGTTAAGACATTAAATACTCATAAATCATGTTGAATAAGAAAATTAAGTTTACATTTTGTTACATCAATTTGAATGAATTCTTTAAATTTTTTTAATACTCTTAATAGTGTGAAGTGAAAAAAACTTTTCTCAAAAGTCATTGAAAATTTTGAGTCCATTATACTCTCACAGCATATATGAAAATGAAAAGAAAAAATTAACGAAATGATGAATTAATTTTGAAAAATATTTTTCTTATATTTTTAAGCATTGAGTGAATTCTGAGCCAAAAGTCTAAAGCCTAGAGAATAGCAAAAATATACACTTTTCTCGTGATTTGAATGATTGTTTTGTAGAGACTCTCATGTATTGTGTGATAGAAAATGATAACTAAAGTTAACCATAAGTTATCTTGAAGACAAAAACTAGATATATATTTATATAATATTGGTATGCAATGGTATGGGCGCCTGAAACTAATGAATCACAAAAAGTGTTAGAATTATAAGCAGCCGGAGCTCTGCCATTGAATTTTTATCATAACTTATGATTTGTCAGCGTTTTCTTTGCTCTTCAAATAACAAAGACTAAGAAAAATATATGAAAACTGTAAGAAAAGCAATTCTCTCTCTCTCTCCCTCTCTCTCTCTCTCTCACTCTCTCTCCACTGACTGTCTCTCTTAAGGGAAATTTCTTGACTTTAAGAACCAAAATATATCTAAAAAATTCACAAAAGTGAAATCCCTTTAGGAAAATATGATAAATAAAATAAAATCCTTAAGAAAAGTACGAGAATAGGTCAGCGATATTACCACTTATAGCCCATACTGTATATCGTATATAATGTATCGAAATATTTAAGAAATCAAACAAAAATGGATATCTATTTAAGCCCTTAAACTCGCATTTGAATGAATGATCGTGGCGATTTGCAATATTTTTTGTTTTATTGAATATGAGTTTTTTATTTCAATGTTTTTTTGTGTGTCTAAAAATTAACATTGAAAATTATTTTTATACGCTTTTCCGCATTACCTCGGTACAATTATAATTACTATTATACTGTATATAAATTAGACATTTTATTGTAAGTTAAATGTATCGTAAAATTAGTAATTGACAATAATTATAGATTTTGTATGGATTTTACAGATCATTAGAGAATGTTTTTAGTATTTATATTTGTTTTATTTTCATTATCACACTACTATTGCTGTATATACTGTACAATCTATTTAAACGATTTTGTGTGTTATTTGCACGAAACAAATCAATTAAATTGCATTTGATTTATACACCAATTGCTTAATTAATGAGAGGAAGTTTAACATTCATTAAAGTCATGACTTTTGAGCCGTACATTCATTGCTAATCACTGTTTTTATCACACACGAGGAATATTCTGGATATATATTCTGGATATCTGGATATATTCTGGAGTCCATGATATATTACCGCATATTCTCACGTATTTTTCTATATATACAACCCATACGTCTGATTATCACCGATAATACCCACAGAACTCTCGCAGAATTTTTAATAACATTTTTCGGTGTATTTTTAGTTACGAAAGCAATGCCTACCATAAGCCAAATAATTGCCAAAAATCCGGAATATATTAACAATAAAATCGATAGAATTTATAACAAAACACAAAAAACTATACACAGAATCAGAATTCTGTGCTATAAGTCATGAGAGAATATCATTTATCATTGTCTACATATTAAGTACTGTTCAATAAACTGCTACACAATTTCTGTACCCGGAATATTCTGTGAGAGTAAAGTGTTTATATATAAAGTATATATACAGTATGCCCTTACAGTGAACTTTCCCATTCAATAACTAAGTGTTATACATATAAAGAATTTCATTTTTGTTACACTAATAATATTTTTTGTCAAATTGAGTAAAATTTTTCAGATAAATATTAGGCAATAAATTTCTAATCCTCTCAAAGGCTATCGACACGTGAATTATATTTCAATCACAAATACAGTCGAAATGATATTTTAGTGTAAAGTGTGGCAATCATTGTGTGAAATGAAGTTTTTATTTCCTAATATAAAGTCAAGAGAAAAATATATAATATATTTGTAGAAAAATTTTTTCATTACTAGTAAATCGCCTATTTTTCTAATGAACATTCTTATGGCTCACCATTTATTTTGAAATTTACAATTCCAGTCATAAACTACTTATAAAACTCAATTTAAGCTGTCTTTTAAGGGGTCTATAAACTCGAGAATCCAATAAAAACGAGAATATTATTCACATTTTCAATGAGCAAAATCGACAATTCACTTTAATCATCTAACTTTTATAACGTTGATTGCATTTACATTGCTAAGTTTATAATCAATCAAAGTTCATCACACTTTACATTATAATTGAAAATCGCGTTAATTTTTAATTACCATAAACTAATTATCATATACATAACCAAAAGTTAGTCGTGAAATATAGTTATTAAACTTTTCGGAGTCACTAATCATTAGATTATTATTATAGGGATTGCTATCACACATAAAATATAGCCATAATAATACTAATAATGTAATTCTGGATCTATTATTTATGTGCCAAACATTTGGACACTTGTATATTGATATAGAAATAAAATTAGAGACAAACACTCGGAATCGATGCCACAGAATATTCTGTGTGTAACATATAACTCATACATACAGCGAAAGTCATAATAATAAATTGAATTATAATGTCTGTGCCTATGATTGCAGTGGTGGGCGGGCGGTCCAGGCTTCACATGTTTGACTTATCGCCAGCCGTGAAAAACCTGACAAACGTATTGCTGGCTATTTTCAACGGACAGAAGCACATCCCTAACAAGTAAGTCAAAGTCAAAGTCACAGCTCAAATCTTAGCCTGATCTTAGGCTGGCAGCACCGGTAGTCATAGTCATGAGTGAACGTCTTGTCATAAGAGAAAATAAATTAGGAGTTCCTTTGATTCGGTTAAAAGGGCTGCTGAATGTGGATAGAAAAACATGGGCTAATCCCCCAGCGATGATAGTATCTGAGCGCTCAAAATGATGGTCAATAGTAAGGCCACACCGGTTAGTAACCCCAACCGATAAGACCCCCGTAGGAAATGGATGCGAATCGATGATAGGATTCTGTCGAATCACACGAATTAAGCATTTCTTATATATATGATGGGGAAAGGCTATGAAAAGCCTAAAAATCGATTCGCGATTTTTGTTGACATATCTTTTGCCACTTTATTTATTTTTCTAGTTTTCGTCTCGTGTTTGTCTTAAAAGTAAAAGTTTGGCAAAATTTTTCACTATTTTACTATTTTGTAGGCAATAGTTGGGGGAACTGTAGTCTGGAATAGTGTGTTATATATGAATTGTAGTGAATTTATGGTGTTAATTGAATTTCATTCAAGAATATTCTCTATACTAGCGAATAGTTGGATATATAATTGTGTTTATCGTATATTAAAAGTCCTCTCACTTTCTGGTCTTTCTCATAGTTATGACAGAAATTGATTTTTATTTTTGTATTTAACTTTTATTTATTTATATATCGCTGCTAGTTATTAACTAGTAATTTGGACCCAAATACAGTATATAACTATAAATGATAGTGGCTTTAGGCTCAACTCCACAAGTCAAACATTGGACAGCAGCAAAAAATATATAATACTTTATATAT